TATTTTCTCATCACAAATGATCTTATCCAAATACTACTTATGCAATATAAGCCTAATATAAAACTTAACAATCTTTAAAACTAGCATTATTACAAAGAAATATTTGCAAACAATTCTATGGTTAATCAATGTTAAACAAGTATATAGATGAGTAGTTTCATTATAAAATATCACAAAATGTTGACTTTTCCTATTAATTGATGAAACCCTCCAGATTTTATAAATACGCGTATGATCCAAATCACGCACTAACTCTTCAAGTTTGATGACAAACGCATCAAACATATCATTAGAAAACATTCTAGCAGATACCTCATCTGTTACCTATTGGAAAAAAGGTTTTAAGTTTAAATACAAACGAATTCGAATTTGTTCTATTCACTTAGAGAGTTGCTAAAAAAAAAAAAAAAACCTCAACCAAATAAAATTGTTAAAGTTTCACTTATATAAATTAAAAATTTTCACCCATAATAACTATAACTACTATACACTTAAAATAATAGAACATATCCGACTTTGGAGTCCATCTGCCAAATTGATTAACTGCACATGATAATGAATGCTGAGATTTATTTCATGGTATTGGATTTTAAGTATTGCTGTTATTAAAAACTTTTGACATAATTTATCAACCAAGCTAAAATATCTGTTATAATAATCCTCATTGTAGATTTCTGGTAATACACCTGCAACTTCATTAAAATATTGATACTGATCCTCTTTAAAAAGTAATCTCTCAACAGTATTACTCAATTTGAATAAAGATGATGAACTATTAATACTGTATGTTTTTTTATAACCCTATTGTAAGACTCAACTCTCTGCGTAGTTTGTATACCTGCGTTGAATGACCTGTGTGTAAAGCAAAGCACCCACGATTTTCTGCAAGAATAAAGCTGCCTTTTCAAATATGGTCTAGAATCAGGATACTTTTGTAACAAACCCGTCCAACATTTCTCAAATATTATCTCCACATAGCTATTTCATACATAACAGAATTCCTTAAAAAACTCACACCATTTTTCACCTTATTTTTACTTAAAAACTGTTTTTTAAGATTTTTTGAATATGATAAAGACAAAAATGATGCTTAGTATTTGATAATGTTTCATTCACTGCAGTAACCATTGCACAATCAGCATCTGTGAATAATACTTTTGGAACCAGACCATTTGATGCTTCAAGTAAATTATTACACATCTATGAAAAGTGATACTTGTCTCATCCGATATTATGGCAGTTGCTACTAAACGTGACCGATTGTGATTGTCAATAACTATTAATATACAAAGCATCATCAAATATTATTTGTTTTGAAGGTAGTATCCATAAGAACTACATTATAGAACCTGCTCTATAATTGAATCTGACTTGGCTACATCTATATAAGACCAACTAAATGATTATCAGTCCCTTCAAACTTTGCATTAATGTAGTAACCAGGTTCATTACACTGTTTTTAATTAATTCCAAATATGTGCTACCTGCATCACCTGCAACGTGTTTCTTATAATGAATAGTTTGTACTATATTATACACATTACAGAGATGAATGTATTTTTTAGGGTATTTTTGCTGTAAAACCTCAATAATCACACTAGCCTGTACACTACAAGAAGCAAGTAATCTAATATTATCTTGCATTTCTTTTGTTAACTGATAATACCTAGGTTCAAGCATTGTAATATTTAGAACTATCTTATGACTATATGTACCAATAATATTAGAAATACAGATTTGATTGTCATTTTTCCACCGGTATACATTTACATGATAAGAGCACCCTACTGATTTGTGACCTCGATCTCTTTTATCAAGAGTATGAGCTTCTTTATATAGCATGTACATCTGTTCCTTTGTGCATATATATACTCTGCACCGAGATATATTATTTATCTTATCAATTTCTCCATGGGTTATGCAGAAAGCAAAACCACACTCTTTACTATAATTTTCCAACCACCTAAAAGTAGATAAGTGTTAAAATTTTTCTGTGTATAATAAAAAGATATATTTATAAGTGCTTACTTATCAACTGCCTCCCAAGTTTGAAAAGTCTGATTCATAGTTAATGAATATGTAGGTTCTACAAATTCAGCTTTGTCTTTAAAATCAAACTCATTTTCCTTGTTGAATTTGTCAATATCATCATAAGTATTCTCCAAAATCAGTTGTTCACTAAAGTCATTCAAAATACCTTCAGAAGTCATTATATCATTTGTAAAACTGGCATAGTCATTGTTAATTTGAAACAAAAATAGATTGTAAACATTACTAGTATAAGGCAAAAGTGAGTTAGAAGTGTCACTATTATAAAACAGAGGTGTGTTAAAACTGTAGTTAATAGAAAGTAGAAATAAGTTAGAAGCATTGTAAGTATAAAATAAAGGCGAGTTAAAATCATCGTTAGAGTTAAAATCATCGTTATGAAAAAAAGGTGAGTTATTTATTTGTGCTAACAAGAGAAAATGTAAAAC